TGCGACAAAAGGAGACCCATACCATCCTATTTGATGCCAAAAGGGGAAAGGTGAAACAAACATAAAGAGACACCAGCAAATACAGCAACTCTTCTGCGATGTATTTTGAAAAGGAAAAGATGCCGCTGGAGCAGCACATGGTTTTCACCCTCCCTGTGCTGCTTCCTAGTAAAAAGGAAAAAGCCCACATTGCAGCACGCAGCATGTTTGACTCTTGGAACAGGTTCAGGGACAGCTTTTGTAATGAACGAAAGCATTTTTATAATACTAAGCATAAACCCATTTTAAATAGGAATTGACAATGACCTGTTGTCAGCATTTATTAGCACATAATAAATGACATTTTAAAGTCAATTTGCCAGCACTGATTAAACTTAAGACTACTGTACTTTGTATATCCGTGAAGCGCAGCGCTTGAAGTTGACAACAACCAAAGAGCTATTCAAAGCAGAGAAGCCTGCATCAACCGCGCCGCAGGACAGAACCAGTGCTCACAAACTGGTGCTTTGAAATTGCCTCCTTCCCCTTCGTCCCGTGGTGCCGATTCCCCAGTTTTCCACCCGTGCAAATTACGAGCAGCAGAGTAGGACTTACCCTCCTCTGCCACCTCCATTTACGGAGAGATCTCTTTGTACTCTGTGCAAACTCACCTTTCCTCAGCAAGCATGAGGAGTTGTACGCCGACTGTTGTGAAAACAGAATCATTCTCCTGTTCTTTAAATTGCTGTCAGCCGGCTAACTGGTGAAAGAGAGAGCTGGCACCTTTTCTCCTGGTATGTGCAGCACGAGCAGAATTGCTTACCAGTGCTCAGTGGCAGGCCCATTTATGCAATCCTCCATCCACCCGTGGCGTCGGTGCAAACACACACCGCGTGAATACTTAGAAAAAAATCGGGGGGGAAAAAAAAAAACCAAACCAGACAGAAGGCAAACCTAGAAAATGTCCATAGGGCTCCACCTTAATCCCTGCAAGACTGTTCTACTGTTTTAAGATATTACACCACCTGCCTTCCGTTTCCATCGTGAACATCTCACGTTGCTCTCTGCAGCCCTGCTTCGCTACCTCGTGGAAGAAGGTGAAGAGGTAACGGTGCAGGTAAGCACAACCCTCGCCGTTCAGAAGTCCCTTGACTTTTTATTCCCTGTGCTGCAGGTGGAGGGGTACTGAAGATTATATGGGGGATAATTTTCACAGCTTTCCTAACAAGTGACAAATTACATACCTAAACCATACATACCGTAAGACACCACAAAATTATTAGGCACTGATCCTTCTCGACTGTCATCTGTCCAATTTTTGCATCTTGCCCTCCCCAGCTCGTTGCAGCCTTACTGCTAAGGCAGACTGGCTCTGTGACTTAGAGGAAAACGCGTGCCGCCAGACAGAAATCTCTCTAATCCCTAGCCTAAAACGTTCTGAGGTGGCACCCAACTGTTGAACGTTCTTTAGCAACTTTTTGAGGTTGCGTAGATATTGTTTAAAATTGTTTGGCATCAGCAGCTTTTAGGTTTTATACAAAAAGGATAAAAAATACAATACTGCAGGCCACCAGCTGAAAAAGTCAACTCTTATCACCCTAAAGCACGATCTATGACTTAAAAAGACTGTGAATTATAAAATCTTTCAAATGTTTTTGTTCATGTAAACAACCAGAAGCCACTTGTTGGTGAGATCAGCCCCAAGTAATTAATCAGCTGTTTTTCTAATGAGCTTCTTTATGCTTTCTTTGAGGCCGCTCCTTATTTCATAAGCCACCCTGGTCAAACTGGTAGTAGGACACCTAACACCGCAAACACAGGTTTTCAATAATAAAGCCTAACCAATCCTTGGGCCAAATATCGTGACAGCAGCCAACACCGGCAACTTCAAAAGCAGCTGCAAAGCACACTGAAAACATACACTGGGTAACCTGGTCCACCACGATGGGTTCATCCTAACCCCAGAAACCCAGTATTGGTTCAATTCCTGGAGTATAAAATTTGACATATATTCCAAAGCACGTTGGCGTTAACTGTCGGGCTCCTGATATTCGTATTACCCACATGTTAAACCTCCCTGTTTTTTTCTAACCAGTTCTGCGGCGATGAGGTCCACAGCGTATGTACAGGCAGCAAGGGAAGTGCAGCACTTTACGAGTCTTGGATTTGCCACCTTTCATATTCACGAAATGCTTTCTTGTGTTACGGACTGCACGAACGACAGACCTACTTCTTCCAAACCATTCGGTATTCACATACTTCTCTTGCTGACTCTCTTACCCATCTCCTCTCTTCACACACGTTTTCCACCTCCTTCCTCCAGCTCTCTGTTGCTTCCCCTCTCAGTTAGATGGCTGCCTTTTTTAACCTCGCAGTCACGCTTTACTGGTTCTGTGCTCAGCAGACGAGGGTTCTGATGCAACAAGGGGGCTAAAGGAAAAAAGAAAAAAGTTATACTCGAGAAGAGTCTAAACCAATGACTTTATCATACGGTAACTGATGACTTCAGTTTATGAGTCACTTCAAATAAACTGTACCTACATATTTTCAAAATCCCATCTCTATTTACTACATCCATAAACCTTCCCCAAAACAATTATTGAGTACACCTGACAACTTAAATCAGATTTTTGTTCCCACTGTAGATTAAAAGGTGTTGCACTTTCCTATCTGACACTATAAACATACTAACACATCGGTTGTATTAAGAATACAAGCTGGCACCAGGAGTTACCAGAAGAGCGATATTACAAAGCTTTGAAGGGACTTCAGTTCTTTTGTCTTAATAATACATCGCATAAAGACAATAAAACCTTCTTCTATCCTAAAGCTGCACCCTTCTTGCTTTACGCCCACACGAATATTCCATGCAAATTACTTTTATGAGTAACGTGCGAGGGATTTTATCTTCTGTCACGTGATGAAGTTCACGTGATCCAAACCAAAAGCACAGTAGGAGTCGTACGTACGTGCAGCAAACCCCAAAAATGCCTAATGCTAAAACCAGTCTTAATGCATGTCTTCAGCTCCCTTAAAGTACGTACAGGACCCCACCTCGCAACCACTTTCGGGGTCCTGCCCTGTACTCCGCACAATCTGAAACTGTAATTGCTGCTAAGAACGTCTAATTTGAGACAAAGTGACAGGATCCCACGTATTTTTTTCCCTCCAAATGAATACGCTTTGTACTAACCAGAAACACAAAGACAGAAAAACCAAACAAGACAGATCTTTTAGTTATCTTTTATAATTACTTTAGAAAGAACCATGTTATTCGTTTATAGAGAAAAATGTCTGAGCAGAGAGAAAAGACTTATGGAAATAATTTCAATTTTACATTTGTATTAGAAAGTTGTTCACATCCATTTTATTGCAAGAAAGCTGTCTTGAATTATTCAAAATTAATTAAAATTCAGAGCATTAAACAAAGAACAGTGTTCATAATGTAATAGTCTTCCAGGAAAATCTCGAAAATAGTTCAGTTAACAAACAGCCTAAACCAACAACAATTCACACACGGCAATGATGTAAATGGTTTTTGTTTCTAAAATAACAAACTGTCTTTCCATCACTGTAATTTTGCTAAAGATGTGGCATTTTCCTATAACGAGGCACCAAAAGTCTGTGGCACGATTATTTCGGAGATACTAAGGCTCTGCTGAAGTCCACAGAAGTTGAAAGGTGATTGCTTGTTTTGAACAGATCTGGCTGGTTAAAGCGATAAAAGTGTCAGGAATTTAAATGCCTCCAAATCATTCCGTTTCGTAAGGAATTCCCACAACACGTGACACAACACAAACGGTCGGATTTATAAAAAAAAAATATTTAACTTCTGTTATTTGCTCACTGTGTAGACCAACAGATAAAGTTTACGAGTAGACAGATTATTAATCTTTAAATCAAACTGATGTTAGACCTCTTAAGGAAACCTCAAAAGCTTGTAGTCATCTTGTCACGTGGTCATTTTGTTTTTAAAAATATTAATAGCTGTCAGTTTTACCTGTCAGGAATATCACAGCCGAATCCCCCCAATTCCCACTTTTGTACAAAGGCATAGACAAAAAAGCAACCGGCAACGCTACTCTTTGCGTAACATTTTACGAATTAGAAAATTCCAGAGGTGACTGCATTGCTTATAGTGTACCAGTCCTATAATATTGCAATATTCATCTTTATCCTCAAGTAAAACCTATAATTAGGTATTGCACAGTTATTTCTATCAGATATAAAATACTTCTCCAAATATATTATTTTGGGATACATAATACCACCGATCCTTAAAATAAACGTACGGCAGAAATTAATACATATGTACTTCAGAGGTTTATTACAGTGCCACGCCACTTCTCAAAAGTCCCTCTTCCCCAGCGGCAATATAACGCTGTTTGTAAAACGCCTTGTCCTGCTTTAGAAAGCCGAGACTGAAATCCTGAACTTCCACTGAAGTTCATGGATTTTGCCGTTTACCTCAACAGAACCAGGATTTCACCCTGCGGACAGAAAGGACTTTTGTTGTTACTGACGCTTGCTACAACAAAATACCACTGATTCTTTCGACCTTCTGCAATGGGAAGAGTTTAAACTTCAGTACCGTAATACCAAGCATCCTCCCAATTCTTCCTTCTGGAAAATAAGGCAAGTATGCAATTGAACAGGTAATACTTCTGGTGCAGCCTCACACTGCTCTCTGTGATATTCTGCCTCGTGATAGAAGGAATCACGTAGTTACAGCGCTTATTTTTTTTACTTGTCCAGTGGTAAAATTTAGTAACAAAAACACCCTCATGTAGCAATTCCGAATACAAATCTAAAATACCGCCCTTTTTGACTTCCTGCAGAAATTCAAGAAAGCCTCACGGAAGTAATATCCTAGTATTCACTTCAAACGCAAATAGCTGGATATTAACATTAGTGGCATTTTTCTTAATTAGCAGCAGTACTATATCGAGTTCAGAATAATCATTACGGAAAGCAAAGAAGGGGACCCACTGGATCAGCTAGATCAGAACCCTTTCCTAAGGTTACACCGAGGGCACCGGTATCTGCTTAGTCGACGCACTGTCATAGTCTCGCCCCAAGTCGTTGGTGGTGTGATAGTGCATGGCAATGTAAGATTTGGCAAAGCCGAAAGTCGAGTTCACCGGCTGTAAGCTGTTTGGGGTGCTCGCTTCCTGGGAAGGGCTGCTGTTATAGATACTGTAATAGGGCTCGATTCGGGTGTTCATGGGGGTTGAGCTGCTCTGTGCATAGTGCTGGTGCCCGACGGAAGCCTTGGGACTCAGCACGCTTTCCTTGGAGTGACTAGGACCACAGGCTTGGTCCACAAATTTTTTCTGAGGTTTTGGAGACAACATGTACGCTGAATTGGTCTCGTGGTGGGATGACTTGTTCCTGTTGACTTCCAGGCTGCCTTTGCCCATGGCCCGAAGCCTTGTCTTCTGCTTGCAGCAGAAAAAGACAAGGGCTACGTACTGCAGGCACCAGAGGACGCGCCTCCTAAGTCCGGCACTGTTGCGGGAATATATAAAAGGATTTAATCCAGATTTGAAAAAAATGAGGGTAAATCCACACAGCTCGAACTGGTAGAGAACAAAGCCACCGCTACTAGACAGCATGTCCTGCACCAAGGAGATGCCCAGGGGCAGGCAGCAAACCAAGACAGAGAGCACAATGACAACGCACGTCACCACCGCCCTGGAGTCTTTGGCCGTGGAGAGGTTGACCGCCGACACCAGCTGGAGCCGGCCGGCAGCGGTGGCCGGCAGCTGGCCAAGGTGCTTGGTGTAGCCGTGCGTCTGGACGTGCTGTGGCTTGCTGTAGTTCTGGTTCCTGTACAAGGCAGGCATGGTGCTCTGCACGCCCTCCCCGGCCCCGGTGGCCGGGGGCCCCACAAAGGGCTGCGGTCTCGAGGTGTCCATGGCCACCACGGGCGGGCACTTCCTCACCTGGGCGTTCCTCCGCAGGGCCTGGGCGATCATGATGTAGGAGACGGACACCACGGCCACGCAGCAGATGAAGTCGGTGACATAGAGGTAGAGGATGATCTTCCCCTCGCCGCTGGCGAAGCTGGACATGGGCAGGCAGAGGCGGGAGCCGCGGGTTTTCAGGGTGGCCAGGGTGGCCAGGGTGAAGCTGGTGGCCCACAAGAGCAGGGTGAGGAGGAGGGTGCAGGGGAAGGAGGCGGCGCGGTGCGGCTGGGGGCCCCGCCACCGTCTTGAGCGACATGATGATGAAGCCGGAGCTGGTGAGGTGGAAGGTGAAGCAGAAGGCGGCAGGGATGCCTCGGGCCGAGTCAAAGAAGAGGACGAAGGCAAACATAGGGGCGGCCACCCCGCAGATGAAGAGGTCGCAGAAGGAGAGGTTGAGGATCATGAAGTCGAAGTTGGTCCTGAATTTCCGCAGGGCCGGGTCGAAGAAGGACAGGAGGACGATGAGGTTGCCGTAGGAGCCCAGGCAGAAGACGAGGGCCAGCAGGGAGGCGCAGGGCGCCAGGGTGGCGGCGTGGGTCCCCTCCCGTAGCTCCCCGGG